GTTGTTTTTACTGTAAATAACGGTTGGTTCTGAGAAGGTACCGACATAAAGTTTACTTAGAAAATTTGGTTCTGACAAGGTACTTATGTTTTTACTGTAAATTAAGGTTGGTTCTGAAGAAATTACGACATAAAGTTTATTGAGAAAATTTAGTTCTGACCAGGTATTGTTGTTTTTACTGTAAATAAAGGTTGGTTCTGAGGAGGTGCCAACATAAAGTTTAATTATAAAATTTGATTCTGACAAGGTATTGGATTTTTTTACTGTAAATAAAGGTTGGTTCTGAGGAGGTACCGACATAAAGCTTAGTTATAAAATTTGGTTCTGACAAGGTATTGTTGTTTTACTGTAGATAACTGTTGGTTCTGAGGATTTACCAACATAAAATTTACTTATAAAATTTGGTTCTGACAGGGTATTATTTTTTTTACTGTAAATAAAGGTTGGTTCTGAGGAGGTACCAACATAAAGTTTACTTATAAAATTTGATTCTGACAGGGTATTATTTTTTTTACTGAAAATAACGGTTGGTTCTGAGGAGGTACCGACATAAAATCTACTTTAAACAATTTAGTTCTGACAAGGTATGGTTCTTTTTACTGTAAATAAAGATTGGTTCTGAGGAGGTACCAACATAAAGTTTACTTATACAATTTAGTTCTGACCTGGTATTGTTGTATTTACTGTAAATAACGGTTGGTTCTGAGAAGGTACCGACATAAAGTTTATTGAGAAAATTTAGTTCTGACCAGGTTTGGTGGTTTTTACTGAAAATAACGGTTGGTTCTGAGGAGGTACCGACATAAAATCTTCTTTAAAAAATTTAGTTCTGACAAGGTATGGTTCTTTTTACTGTAAATAAAGATTGTTTCTGAGGAGGTACCAACATAAAGTTTATTTATACAATTTAATTCTGACCTGGTATTGTTGTTTTTACTGTAAATAACGGTTGGTTCTGAGAAGGTACCGACATATAGTTTACTTTGAAAATTTAGTTCTGACAAGGTACTTATGTTTTTACTGTAAATTAAGGTTGGTTCTGAAGAAATTACGACATAAAGTTTACTTAAGAAAATTAGTTCTGACCAGGTATTGTTGTTTTTACTGTAAATAAAGGTTGGTTCTGAGGAGGTACCGACATAAAGTTTATTGAGAAAATTTAGTTCTGACCAGGTATTGTTGTTTTTACTGTAAATAAAGGTTGGTTCTGAGGAGGTACCAACATAGAGTTTATTTATAGAATTTGATTCTGACAAGGTATTATATTTTTTTACTGTAAATAAAGGTTGGTTCTGAGGAGGTACCGACATAAAGCTTAGTTATAAAATTTGGTTCTGACAAGGTACTTATGTTTTTACTGTAAATAAAGATTGGTTCTGAGGAGGTACCAACAAAATGTTTACTTATACAAATTAGTTCTGACCTGGTATTGTTGTTTTTACTGTAAAAATCAGTTGGTTCTGATGAGGTTTCGACATAAAATTTACTTACAAAATTTGATTCTGACAAGGTATTGGAATTTTTTTAACTGTAAATGAAGGTTGGTTCTAAGGAGATACCGACATAAAGTTTACTTAGGAAATTTAGTTCTGACAAGGTATGGTTGTTTTTGGTACCGACATAAAGTTTATTGAGAAAATTTAGTTCTGACCAGGTTTGGTTGTTTTTACTGAAAAAAACGGTTGGTTCTTGGGAGGTACCGACATAAAATGAACTTTAAAAAATTTAGTTCTGACAAGGTATGGTTCTTTTTACTGTAAATAAAGATTGGTTCTGAGGAGGTACCAACATAAAGTTTACTTAAACAATTTAGTTCTGACCTATTATTGTTGTTTTTACTGTAAATAACGGCGGTTGGTTCTGAGGATGTTTTGACAAAAAATTTACTTACAAAATTTGTTTCTGACATGGTATTATTTTTTTTACTGTAAATAAAGGTTGGTTCTGAGGAAGTACCAACATAAAGTTTACTTATAAAATTTGGTTCTGACAAGGTACTTATGTTTTTACTGTAAATTAAGGTTGGTTCTGAGGAGGTACCGACATTAAGTTTACTTAGAAAATTTGATTCTGACAAGGTATTGTTTTTTTTAACTGTAAATGAAGGTTGGTTCTGAGGATATACCGACGTAAAGTTTACTTAGAAATTTTAGTTCTGACCAGGTATGGTTGTTTTTACTGTAAATAACGGTTCGTTCTGAGAAGGTACCGACATAAAGTTTACTTAGAAAATTTGGTTCTGACAAGGTATTGTTTTTTTTTTTAACTGTAAATGAAAGTTGGTTCTGAGGAGGTACCAACGTAAAGTTTACTTAGGAAATTTGGTTCTGACAAGGTATTGTTGTTTTTACTATAAATTAAGATTGGTTCTGAGGAGGTACCGACATAAAGTTTATTGAGAAAATTTAGTTCTGACCAGGTATGGTTGTTTGTTCTGTAAATAAAGATTGGTTCTGAGGAGGTACCAACATAAATTTTACTTAGAAATTTTAGTTCTGACCTGGTATGGTTGTTTCACTGTAAATAACGGTTGGTTCTGAGAAGGTACCCACATAAAGTTTACTTAGAAAATTTGGTTCTGACAAGGTACTTATGTTTTTACTGTAAATTAAGGTTGGTTCTGAAGAAATTACGACATAAAGTTTATTGAGAAAATTTAGTTCTGACCAGGTATTGTTGTTTTTACTGTAAATAAAGGTTGGTTCTGAGGAGGTAACGACATAAAGTTTACTTATAAAAATTGGTTCTAACCAGGTATTGTTTTTTTTTAACTGTAAATGAAAGTTGGTTCTGAGGAGGTACCAACGTAAAGTTTACTTAGGAAATTTGGTTCTGACAAGGTATTGTTGTTTTTACTGTAAATTAAGATTGGTTCTGAGGAGGTACCGACATAAAGTTTATTGAGAAAATTTAGTTCTGACCAGGTATGGTTGTTTGTTCTGTAAATAAAGGTTGGTTCTGAGGACATATCCAGAAATCAACGCCACTTTGCTTATTTGAATATTATACTAAAGAAATCGGATACGGGTCACGGAAATTATATTGAAATGATAGGGAATTTAGAAAAAATGTCTGATTTAACTTTGATTTAAGTGATAGACAGGTTGCCGGGGCAGAAAATAAATATACACAACAATATACACCATTTAAACGAAATATAATGACTGGCGTTGCAAAAATCAAGGTTCCTGAGCTATTTTAAAAGTCGAAGCGAGAGGCTTTTAACATTGCAGTATAAAATACAGGCTAAAATGGCTGAAACGTCAAATTTGCAAACTTCGTGTTGAAAATTGGCTAACAATGTCATTAGAAATACAAGTTGCCGGGGTGAAACTTGAAACTTGAATGTCCAAAGAATAAGCAAGTCCAAACCTTGTATGTGTAGTCGTTGAACTCTAGGTTCCCACGGAAAGTTAAAATGCCTCTATTTCAAGAAGAATAAACTCACGAAAACACGAAAAATTCACTAAATTCGCGTTCATTGTTTTGCTTCTGACCGCCTGACAACTTTACGGAAATACCAGAGTGAGTATAAACAAGGACTCTGTGACGGGCAACTTATAATATCCGTGTTTTAAAGATTTTAATGATATCAAGCCAGTCCAGTTCAAACTATTATCACGTGGTATAATTCTCATTTACATATTATGAATATTAATTAGCAAAAGTACTACTAATTTCTGGCTATGAGGTACCGACATAAAGCTTAGTTATAAAATTTGGTTCTGACAAGGTATTGTTGTTTTACTGTAAATTAAGGTTGGTTCTTAGGAGGTACTGACATAAAGTTTACTTATAAAAACTAGTTCTGACCAGGTATTGTTTTTTTTACTGTAAATAAAAGTTGGTTCTGAGGAGGTACTTATGTTTTTAATGTAAATAAAAATTGGTTCTGAGGAGGTAACGACATAAAGTTTACTTATAAAAATTAGTTCTGACCAGGTATTGTTTTGTTTTTAACTGTAAATGAAAGTTGGTTCTGAGGAGGTACCAACGTAAAGTTTACTTAGGAAATTTGGTTCTGACAAGGTATTGCTGTTTTACTGTAAATTAAGGTTGGTTCTTAGGAGGTACTGACATAAAGTTTACTTATAAAAACTAGTTCTGACCAGGTATTGTTATTTTTACTGTAAATAAAAGTTGGTTCTGAGGAGGTACCGACATAAAGTTTATTGAGAAAATTTTGTTCTGACCAGGTATGGTTGTTTTACTGTAAATAAAGGTTGGTTCTGAGGAGGTACCGGATTGGTTCTGACAAGGTATTGTTGTTTAACTGTAAATAACGGTTGGTTCCA